GAACTGAAAAAGTCATTATATGAGCTACCAAAGGGGTGGGGGGGAACCTATAGGACCAGATATATGCACAAGTGAATTTTATCTAACATTTAAAGAACGATTAATTCCAGCACTACAAAAACAATGCAAAAATATGAAAAGGGATACTCAAATTCCTTATATGCCAAATATGGTTTTGATAACCAAACCACAGAGAAATTAAGCAGAGAGAGAAAAAAAGAATGTAGCCCTATAATATCTGCTGAATATTAATACAAAAATAATAAATAAAATATTACCAATGACTCTACAAGATACTAGAAAGAGCATCCACTACAACTAGGCTGTATCTATACCAGAAATGCAGAATTGATTCAATGTAAGGAAAACTATAGACATAACGGGATTAGGACTAGACCTGTCATTCATCGGTATGGGGAACTTTTAGATGAGGAAACTCATCAATTCAGTCAGCATATTTTCTGAAACTCAGAGTCTAAAAGAGTTGCCTGTAATATGAAGAAGTTAAGTGACTTGCCTACAGTCTTGCAGTCAGCATATATCAGAGTCAAAACTTAAATCCAGGTTTTTCTGACACCAAGGTATGTCCAATCATTTTTTAATATTGTCTGACTCTTCATGATGCCATTTGGAGTTTTCTTGGCAAAGATACTGGTGTAGTTTGCCATTTCTTTCTCCAGCTCACTTTACAGATGAGGAAACTGAGGCAAACAGAGCTAAGTGACTTGCTTAGGGTCCCACAGCTAGTGCCTGAGGTCAAATTTGACCTCAGGAAGAGGAGTCTTCCTAACTCCAGGTCCAGCACTTTATACACTGCACCACCAGCTGCTCCAGGTCTACTCTAGCCACTATACTACACTGACCCAAAAATGTTGAGAAAATAATTATAAATATATATTAAATGTAAACAAAACAGACCTTATTAATAACAATAATAAAATGTACATGAAATCAACAGGATGCATACAATGCTTCTGATAAAATTTAATACTCATTTCTGCTTACAAAAAAGGAATACATGGATGATAGGAATGAATTATAGGAATGAATGGGCCTTTCCTTAATAAAGAAAATAGTACACATCTAAACCTCATAGACTTCATTAAATGAAAAGGCTAAAAGTTTTCCAGTAACATCAGGGATAAAGCAAGGATGTCCATTATCAACAATATTATTTCAAATGGTGGTAGAAATGCTAGGTATAGCAGTAAGACAAGAAAAAAAGATATTGCACAAATAGGAAACAAAATTGCTACTTTTTATAGATAATATGATGGTCTAGAGAAGTCTAATACGTCAACTAAAAATCAGCTGAAACACAATAACTTTAGCAAGGCTAAGAGAACAGAAAATAAAGCTACATAAATCAATAGTCTTTCTATTACCCCAAAACAAAACAAAAAACAACCAGCAAGAAGAGAAAAAGAGAAATACCATTCCAAATAACTTAAGAATGCATGTTATATCTGAGGGTCTATCTCCCAAGTCACACATAGCAACTATATGAGAATAACTATAAAAAACTTTATAGAAATAAGGACAGACCTAAATAATTGCAGAAATGTTAATTAGACTGTGGCAATAGAACAGAAAATGACAGTGCTTTCTAAATTAACTTATGACAATAAAACTACCAAAAGATAACTTTATAGATCCCATTTTTAAAAAATCGTAAAGTTCATCTGAAGGAACAAAAGTTCAATGTCAAAGGAAATCATGTAAAAAGTGGAAAGGAAGATGGCCTAGCAGTACCAGATGTGAAACTATATAATGCAGCAGTAATCATCAAAAGAATTTGGTACTGGTTAAAAAACAAAACAAAACAAAACAGAAAATCAATCAAAACAGATTTTTTACACAAAATACAGAATTACACACACATATGGGGGGAAGCTGGAAAAAGAGAGAGAGAGATCAAGAGAGTACAAAAGCGCACCCGGTGTTTGAAAATCACAGGACTCTCTCTCAGTTTATGGGGTAAGGACTCACTACCAGACTGAATGGACAAAACTGCTCTGGAAACTGGAAAGGAGTTTGGCAGAAACTGAGTTTAGACAATCATCTCACACTACACACCAAGATAAGCTCTAAAAGGTTATGTTACTTACATACAAAAGATAACATCATAAACAAATTAAATCGGCAAGGAAGAAATAAACTTTTGGAATTGTGGATAAGGGCAGAATTCCTAACCAAACAATGGACAGAGAGGATCACATAAGATAAATGGACAATATTGATTAAAGTTTTAAAAGTCATACATGTGAAACAAATACAGTTTAAAATAACAATGAAATGAGTTAAATAGGAAAAATTCCTGCAGAAGTTTCTCTGACAAAAGTTCGAAATCCAAGTTGTATAAGAAACTGATTTAAATATATTTAAAAGCCATGGTAGAACAGATAAATATCAAAGGATACGAATATAATTCTCAAAGCAATAAATTTAAGCTATCAACAGCTATAAGAAAAAAAAAATGGTCGCAAGTAAAATAACTCTAAGGTTCCATCTTATGCCTATCAGACTGGCAAAGACAACAACAAAGGAAAATTACAATTGTTGGCAGGGCTTTAAGGAGACGTACTCTCTCACACCCCTACCCTTACCCATTCAATCAATTGCCAAGGCCTGTTTTGACTTTTGCAAAAACACTCATGTATGTCCCCTTCTCTCCTCTGATACTGCAACCACACTACAGGACGTTATCACCTCATTTCTGGACTACCTCCCACAAAACTATCAGGTTCTTTCCCTGTCTTTCATTCAGCTTTCAAAACAATCTCCATAAAGCACAAATCTGACCAAGTCACACCCCTGCCCCAATTTAAACAACTCTGGTGACTCTGTATTGCCTCTAGGATCAAATATAAAATCCTCTGGATTATAGTCTTATACTGGCCCCTTCCTACTTTTCTAGTGTTCTTATAACTTATCCCTCCTTCCCCAGCTTCGGACATATTCTATTATGTAGTAACACTAGTCTCCTTACTATTCTTCAAAGACTACACTCCATCTCCCAACTCCAAGTATTTTCACTGGCAGTCCCCCATGCCTGGAACTCTCTCTCTTCTTATCTCTGTCTCCCACCTTCCCTGGCTTCCTTTAAGAATCAACTCAAGTCCCATCTACTGCAAAGGGCCTTTCTGGATCTCCCTGAATGCTAGTTTCTTGCCTCTGTTGATTACTTCCAATTTATCCTGTAGGTATCTTGCTTGTACATAAGTGTTCATATATTGTCTCTCTTTGAAAGTAGGAACTGTGTCTTTTTCCTTTCTTTATATTCCCACTGCTTAGCACAGCGCCTGGCACATAGCAGGTGCAAAGCACTGTTTGACTGATATGCACATTGTAGAGCTGTTAAGTGGCCCAGCCATTATGGAAACCAATCTGGAATTATGCTCCACTAGTCATTAACCTGCGCCCAACCCTTTGACTCAAAGATACTCCTAACGAGGCCAATATGCCAACAATTTCAAAAAATGAGAAAAAAGATCAATATACACAAAAATATTCATAGTAGCACTTTTTTTGTTGGAAGAAAGAACTGGAAACAAAGGGGGCACCAATCAGTTGGGGAAAGCTGAACAAACAATGGCATAAAACAGGAATGGAGTACTATTGCAATGGAAGCAATAACAAAAGGATCACTTCCAGAGAAATTTAGGAAGACTTTATGAAATGATGCAGGGGGAAGTAAGAACTTGAAAAATATTTTATAGAATTAAAAGAAAAATAACTTTCAAAGAACTTTAATCCATTTAATAAGCAACCATGATTTCAGAGGCTAGATGATGAAATAATATATAACCCTTCCTGACAACAGACGAGATGAACTCAAAGGATAGAGGGAGATATACATTTTTGGACACAGCTGAAGAGGGAATCTATTTTGCTTGACTAGGCATATGTTACAAGGGTTTTGTTTTTGTTTTCCAATTTGGTGGGGAGAACTGAGGGTAAGAGGAAGCTAGCAATTGGTTTGTCCTTCACCTTCCTCAAATAAAAGAAAAAAGAAAAGAAAAAGGTGACATCAATGATGCTTTAAAAAAATGTACAGAAGACAACAGAAAAAAGGCCAATAGGAAATAGTCAAGACAATTTTAAACACTGCATGTTAAATTTATTAAATACTTAAAAGGAAAAGGAGGTGTTATATAACAGATTCACAGTTTCACATACAATCCTCTTTTCTAATTTATATATAGACATGCTCGTTTTATTTGGCATTTTGAGTTCAGAGTTTTAAGAAAATTATAAAAGATTAAATCATATGAGAATTAGGTGAAGGAAATGGGGATATATAACCCAGAGAAAAGCAGACTTAGGGGACATATAATAGCAGCCTTCAAATATTTGAAGGGCTCTAATATGGAAGAGGGCTTAGATTTATTTTACTGAATCCAGGAGTTAGAACAAGGAGCAATGGGTGGAAGCTACAAAACAGCAAATTACAGGCCAGATGCAAGGGGAGAAAATTCCTAACAATTAAAGCTTTCAAAAAACTGAATAGGTTGTCCCATTGCCAGGTATATTATACAGGGGATTCTTGTTCAGGTACAAGTTGAATTAGATGGCTGTTGAGATGTTGTACTTCCAAAAACATTCAAATCAAATATTTATTGAGTGTCTAATATACATAAAATTCTGCTACGTGAACAGGTTACTCAGACAAGGATGAAAAAGTCCACTTGCCTCAAGGCCCTTAAGTTCTACTGGTTACTTGATTGTATCAATCATTAACAAATGATATAATCACTGTATTTCAATAATACAACTGAAAGAGTGACAGAAAAGACATACAGATGAACAGAGGAAAAAATTCTGGACAGTACTGCAAGTTAGAAAGAATCTATATTTGGAATCCTACATGCAAATTGGAAGGAATTTCTGAGGTCATCCAGCTCAACACATAAATGAACATAAATTCCCTCTAAACATCCTTGACAAATGGTCATCTGGCTTGAGTTTGAAGACTATCAATAAAAAGGACCGCCACTTACCTCTGATAGTAGTTCCTCCTCTAGAATAGAAGTTCCTTGAGGGCAGAGACTGTTTGGTTTTTGCCTTTATATCCCAAGAGCCTAGCACAAAGCCTGGTACACGTAAGTGTAAAACTGAAGTGAATTCCTGAAGTAGCCTATTCCAAGAGTTGAACTGGCTTCTGTATTTCCCCACAGGGTTTATACCTTTAAGTGAAAAAAAGAGAAGTGGTGGGGTAGGAGATGAGAAGGGATATAATTCCCTTCTCTCTGTCAAACAGGGGGATATGTCTTTTCAACCTTCCTACCCCAGTCCACCACTTTCCCCAACAATAAAACTCATTATAAAACTTCAATAAGGAGTATGTGTTTACTTCATGGACAACACAACAGGGGTGAATGGCATGACATGCTGTTGCAGTGGGATGGAGAAAAGAGAAACCTAGTCAAAAGTAAGAAGTGTTAGCAGTAGAAAGATAAATAGCCCCTGGCCTATGTGCTCAGAATTTTGAGAGCTAAAAAGGAATTTTAACATTAATTTGTACAGCCCCATTATTTTGAAAAAAGAGGGAATTGGGAGTTGGCTTAATAGCAATAAGTTTCCCTGGTACTAATTTAATTCTGTAAGAAATCCAAGTCCACCCAACAGAAGTCCACCTACTCAGGTAACATCCTGCTAGTCACTGGTCCAACCCACCAGAGATACTGTCCATGACAAGAAGAGAGAGTGAAAGCCTTGCCAACTTTTACAGCAAACTTTTTGAGCAAGTCTATACATGCTCTCTTTGTAGCCAACCTAGCCTCAAGATCTTTCAAGCTGACTTCTGTCCTTACTATTCTATTCTATCTGAATCTTCTAAGAGTAACCAGGGACCCCCTAATATCTATTTGATATATGGTGCAAGGTAAAGAGTGTTGAATCTGAAGCCAGAGTACCTAGATTCAAATCTGAACGCCACCACGCTACCACCCTACCACCTGCATCACCAAGAGAAAACTCCGAGTTTCAGTTTCAATGTCTGTGAAATGAGGGAGTTGAACCAGATGATCCTAAGATCCCTTTTCAGATCTAAATTCATTATCTGATATAGGTTCTTTTAGTCCTTATCTTCCTTGACATCTCTGAAACAATAACATTATTGATGACTTCCTCTTTCTGAGTATTTTCTTCTCCTTTGACTTAAGAGACATTAAGATGGCTTCCTATCTTTCTAAACTCTCACTTCCCAACCTCTTCAAATGGGTGTTCTCCAAAGTTCTCTCTCTTTCTTCTACTCTTTCCCTTAACAACTGCATTCATTCCCACAGCTTCCATTACCAACTCTATACAGATTACGCAAATCTTTATATCTAGCCCAGATCTCTCTTATGAACTCTAAACTTGTAGTGCATCTTCAGCCATCTACATTTTCCAAAACCTTTGTTAATGTTGTTCCTGATATCTAGCCTATTATTATTGTCTACTCTCTCTTTCTGAATAAATGCCACATTTCTTTACAGAACATTAAAGGAGGTATGGCAACAGTAATTCTCAAAATACTTCAAAAATCTACCTATCCCTTGGAGAAAAAAAAGAGAATATGTAGAATTTGGCATAGTAGGATTGATTCTCAAACTCTTTTATCCAATGACTCTTTAGGGATCATTATTATGAATATCTATATTTAATATGTTAAGAGTAGTGCACTAGGAATAAGAACTAAGTTTGAGTCCCAATTCTGTCACTAATGAGTTGTATGGGCAAATCACTTAATCTTTCTGATCTTGGGTTCCTGATCTCCAAAACACTACAGTTAGACTAGATGATCTCTATGGTCTCTTGAGAGTGCTAGGCCTAGAGTTAGGAAGACGAGTTCAAATCAGGCCTTAAACATATAGCTGTGTGATCCTCAATAAGCTGTTTAATGTGGGTGCCTCAATTTCCTCAACTGTAAAGTGAGAATAATAACAGCACCCATCTTGCAGGGTATTTATTTGTGAGGATCAAATGAGATAACATTTATAATGCATTAGCCCACTGCCTGGCACACAGTAGGTGTCAATGAATGTTTATTTCTTTCCCTCTTCCAAAATAAAACAAAAAGGCTTGTATATCACACAGTTATAAAAAAAAAAAAACTTCAAAAATTCTTCTTGACATTATAGTTCAAGGATTCACAATATTACCAGTGTGGGTTCTCTAATCACCAAAGCAGACCACAATCTTTTTACAACTCTGTGGTCTACATGGTGAGGAATGCCTCTGTTCTTAGGCAAATTGGTTGGTCTTTGGATAATCTATCACTATTTCATGTCTGAGGCTCCTTCCACATTTAGCAAAGCCATTCAGCTGCTTGAATACTTTTGAGAATGAATGCTGTCATGGGGCATCAGAGTAGGTTTGTAGCAGATGCATTAAGATATAAATATAGGAAAGAATAAAAAGGTAGAGAAAATAGGTACAAATAAAACACTCAAGGCTCACTATAATTTTAATTTATACACAAGACTACACTACTACAAGTTTTTAATGTCAACAGTGTGGGCTTTATCCTAATAATATAAAAAAAATCTATAGAGATCAACCAGTAAAAATGCCGCATTTTATATATATAAGAAAAATGAGGAATCTTTACTAATGCTATTTTCTCTACATAATGACCTTTAAGTCTTAGAGTTCTAAATCTTTAAGTTTTAGAAACCTCTTAACATGTTATCTCAAGAACCTCACAACAAATAATGAAGTGTGATTTTACAGATGAGAAATCAGAAGCTAAGAAAGATTAAAGGACTTGTCCAGGATCATACAGCTAGTAAATACCTGAAGAAGAATTTGAACCCAAGCTTTCTGACATTAAATCTAGCATACTACCCACTGTGCAACCTAGCTGTCTATCATTTACTTTTTTTTTGTTTTGTTTTGTTTTTCTTGGCTAGGCGATGGGGTTAAGTGACTTGCCCAGGGTCAAACAGCTAGTAAGTATTATGTGTCTGAGTCCAGATTTGAACTCAAGTCCTCCTGAATCCAGGGTCGGGGCTCTATCCACTGCGCCACCTAGCTGCCCCCATCATTTACTTTTTATACCTCTCTTCAGACACTTAATTTGTTATTGCCTTGTGCTATTTATTATTTGTTTTTATGTTTATGTTCTACTTCCCCAACTACCCTTCTCAGAACAATGACAATGTTAGACTGCTTTTTTATCCCTTTGCCCTGATAGCCTTAAGTAGATGAATGATCATGAACTTCTGAAGCCCAGATATAAAAGTACAAAAATAAACACAATACAAAAGTGAGTCATGTAAAATCACAGATTTAGAGATTATCTAGTCCAAATCCCTCCCTTTACAGGTGAGGGGACTAAGGCCTAGAAAATCTAGGTGACTTGCCCAAGGTCACATAGTTAGTAAGTAACAGATTACGCAAATCTTGGGCTGCAAAATCAGCACTCTATGCTGTCTCTCTCTCAATGGCCCTCTTTCAATGGCCTTGGCCATAACTTGCAAAGGCAAGTTAATTTCATCTCCATAAAATTCCTGGCTGTAATTGTCTCTCAATTTAATCCACTAAAATTCAACCCAGATTTTAGAAGATTCTAATTGTATAATTTAACTCCCCCCACCCACACTAGGTTCTCAAGTCACTTTAGTAAATGCAAGGCTAAAAATTTACTTTCTTAAGCACAGGCATGAAAATTTTTTTATCTTGATATTCAAGATATCTAGGGAACTGGTAGAAATATATAAGAATAAGAGCCATTACCCAATAAATGGTCAGAAGACATGAACAGGCAGTTTTCAAATGAAGAAATGCAAGCTATCAATAATCAATCAATAAACATTTATTATGTGCCTACTATGTGACAGGCACTGTGCTAAGTGCTAGAAAACCATATTAAACAACCATATTAAAACTATTAATCACTATTAATAGAAGAAATGAAATTTTAAACAACTCTGAGGTTCTACTAAATACCCATCAAACTGGCAAAGATGAGAAAAAAGGAAAAAAAAATGTAAATTGTTGATGAAGCTTTGGGAAGTCAGGCATATAAATAAATTATTGGTGGAACTGTGAATTGGCCCAATCGTTCTGGAAGACAATTTGAAATCTACCCCCAGTCACTAAACTGTGCATAACCAGTAATACCATTTCTAGGTCTATGTTCCTCAACATCAGACACAGAAGGACTCACACATACACAAATATTCACAACAGTACTTTTTGTTGTTTCAAAGAACTGGAAAAAAAAATAAATGCCTATCAATTAAAGAATTGCCGAACAAATTACCGTACCTAAATGTAATGGAATGTCATTGTACCATGGAAAACAGATGAGTTAGAGAAACATAGGAAGACGTGAGTCGATGCTCAGTAAAGTAAGTAGAACTAGGAGACTATATAATGACTAGCATAATATAAAGGAAAATCATTTTGAAAGACTTAAGAACTCTGATCAATGTAGCTGATCAATGTAATATCAACCATAATGCTAGAAGATCAATAATGAAATATGCCTAACACCTCTTACTAATGAAAAAATACACAGAAGATGATAGAAAGAAATTGATGTGAGGGCACAGTTGGAACTATTATGTTAAATTTAATATATTCTAAAAGAGATGTACATAACAGGGATTCACAGTTTCACAAACAATCCTTTTTTGGTTCTTTATATAGAAATGTCTGTATGTATTAATGTTTAAATTCAAATTTTGAAAAATATTTTAAGCTCAAGTATTATATGCAGTGAAATCACTTATTTCCAACTAACCTCAATTGCACAGTACTGAAATACTCAAAGTGGCAGTTTAGAACCAGCAGCTGGTTTCACTGGACTAATAATAGGAGGGGGCACTTCTGGTACCACTGAAGCACCACAATGAATCCCAGTGGGAAAACATTAATATTTTAAGCTAGCTTGCCCAAGTGGCTCTACCTTTATTTCTATGGAAAGCCCTGAATTTTCTCCAGTTCTAAATACAGAATTATGATAAAATAAACAAGTACATCTTAGAATTCCCTGGTATCAGAAAGAAAGACCTAAGGGAAGAGATTCTCTGTTGTGCGTGGTATTTTAAAATACTGCAAGCTTAGGAACCATTATCTTGCTATCGCATTGAGCTTTTGCATGCTGTACTAATTCAAAACAAGATTTATTCCATAAGCTTAGAATTTGGTATACCTCAACATGGTGAGTCACTGTATTAGGCAAAAATATCACCTTTAAATGAAACAGCCTGCTACTTATATATTAGGAATTCCAAAGTACAAGCTTGGGTCTTGACACTACAGAGAATGTAGCTGCTGCCATATCTAGTCTAGAAGTTTTAATTTATATCGATGTTAACCTTCACCTAATTTCCTGGTGAACTGTTGTACTATTAAACAGGGATCATCTTCTGCTATAACAGGAAGTCACTTAATATTTCTTCTCCCATTGTATAACATTTTTTAAAAAGGCAAAAAGTGACTGCTACGATGACTTGTCAAATATTCTCTCTCCTCAATGAGATATTTATTAACGTCAAAGTTTCTTACACAGAATATAGAAACAGAACCTAAATACATCTAAAAACATTTAAGACTGTATTACAAAATACATAACTTGTAAAATCCTAGCTTTATTTCCTTTATATTAAGATTATATTATTTTGAAGTATTATACATTCCTATAATTATTGTTAAAAATTATCATGTAAATAACAGGTGCTTATATTTGGGATAAAGAATGGATTTAGGAATCATAAATGTAATATAATAATAAATGTAATATAATACCCTTCAAACGGGTTCCATATTTATAAAAAAATCCAGTTAGTCAATAATTGTTGGTGACTGTGGACAAGTCACTTAACCCCAACTGCCTCATCAAAACAAACAAACAAACAAACAATAATTGTCTTGAGTTTCCAATATATATATGTTTGAGGTCAAACAATATTGGAAATAAGTGCCAGTTAACTTCCACCTTCTTTATACCATTGACTTTGTAGATCATCCTGCAAATCAGATCTTATGAAAAGGATCTCACTGCTAGATTCTCAAAACTGTACATGGAAATCTAATGATGCAATCATTTTTTCTTGAACTTTTTTCCTTCTTAACCTCTCAATACTAGTTATTAGAGACCACCTGCTATTAAGTGTTAATTCATTCTGTTTTATATTAGAAAAATTGAACTCAAAGAAAATGTAACAAGTAGGATTTTTTAAAAAAAAAATCCCATGTAAAATGGATTCTTTTTAAAAAATACTAATTCAATATTAATATTTTCTCTATTGGAGTAATATCACATTTTTTTATGCCAATGTGTTGAATTTAGAAAAGAAAAAAGAGCGATGAGAGGGGAGAAGGTTGGTAGGGAAAAGTATTGGAAACTGCCCTGCTCTCTGCACAAAATAGATCTTCTTGGGTCCAACCGAGAACATTCTTAGGTAATAAGGCCTAAAAAAGTATCATAGGATCATAAATTTAAAGCTGGCAAAGTACACTCAGAGGTCATCTAATACAACTATCTCATTTTACAGATTAGAAAACTGAGGCCCAAGGAGTTTAAATGACTTGCCACAGGACATATGATGCTTCCTAGAAGATCTTAACCAAAGCTAGCATCAGTTACCATCAGCTGACAAATTGCTTATTCAGAATTTTAATGTCTAACTCACAACTTTAAAAAATGGAGAGTGTGTTACTGCATATTTGGTATCTAACTCCAAATTATATAAACATATTTTTCCCTTTTTTCTTCACATAAGACATCAAAAGGGGAAAAATTTAGCTTTTACAAAACAAGTCACTTTCTCCCTTTTCTAAAAGATTTTCAAATGTCTGAAGTTTCTTAACTTTATATAGCCGAGAATACATCTCCTTTTAGTGACCACTGAGAGAAACAAAAACTTCTAATGTTTCTCTTTCTCTTCAAAAAGAGTAAACCAACATCTATGAGTCCAGCAGAAAAAGCAATTGAAACACATGTCATATTAACTGGTCTGTTCAACAGTTTGCACATGGAATGTTAACAATAAGTAGCACAATAATCCTTAGGGCCCGTCAAATAGAATCGTTTAAGAAAAAATGTATCAATCTGATCCTAACTTGCAACTTGATTTAAGAAAATATCTTGAAAGATTCCCATTGTTAAAATATACTCCTTTATATAACTGATAGATATGAAAGCATATTATTTTATTTTAAATAGAAGAAAAATATTAAAATTCTTCCACAAATAGAAAAAACACAATTATGAATGCTATTTTTAAAAAGGGGAAAAGAATTTTGTAGCTGATTAAAATTCTTATGATACTTCTCATTTTGATGAATGTGGAAGTCAAAGTATTTTGGAGTACAACACACAAAGATTTAAAAAAAGATCCCTGAAGCACAAAATGTAAAGATTTTATAAACCACTAAGTAACCCAACTAATAAAAATGTTAACGTTCTTAAGTTTTATGTAACTTGTTAAAAAATTAATCTCATCTCAACTTTAAGCTTAAAGAATTATCACTTTAACAAAAAAAATTGAATTGTAAAATTAATTAGTTCTCAGAAATAAGATTGTACGGTCCAAATAAATTCTCAATCTAATCATAAGTTTCTGACCTGAAAGTTAAGTGATTTGCCACATTAGCATAGAAGACCTAGAAAGATTTGAAAAAGAAACAAGCTTTGATGTAATATCAAATTTTTGAAACAAAACAAATACTTTGAGTCAGTCTCACCGGCTTTGATTCACTGGCAATATTTAATATGCTGTCTACTTCAGGGATTGTATGGAAAAACAAAACATTTCTGTGAAGCAGGAAAATTATTTAGAGCTATGCATGGAATTCAAAAAAGGTGACTTTTCAGTGCTTTACTTTGCCACTGTCATTACACTCTACAATGAACAAACGTCTTCAGTGACTTCAATCTAAAAATTTACCCAATGACTAAATGCTAACACTGATAAAATCAAGAAATTCTAAAATTTATTTCAGTTTAAACTAATACTTTACTTAGTGCAAAATTTTCATTTATAGATACTTCCCTCAAATTAAAAATTTTAAACATAGCCATAAAAACATATACAATAGGGTTTTGTACCTTAAAGCATTCACATTGTAAAATACAAGCACTGTGGAAATGTGACTAATGATCCAGTCCTTTAATCAAATATAATAGGACTACTGAGAAGCTTTATCTTTCTTTGTAAAACAGCTTTCTACTCACTCAAATTCACGTAATTGACTCAATATTAGTCCCTGTACTATAGTTTGCTCAAATTTTTTTTTAAATCTATACAATGTTAGAACTTTAAAGTTTCTAAGAGTTTCATTCCTAACTAAAAATCTTAAGACCTCAGTACTTAAATTAAATTCTCCTTCTGCTTGCTTCCCCTATTCTTAATTGAAAAATCAGTAGGAACCAAGAGACTGAGTGACTGTAAAGGCTTTATAGGACAGCATAGATGACTAAGGTGATGTTAAAAGTATATTTAGTATACACATATATTTCATATAATAAGAGTATACTAAGGTATTTACATATTTTCCATACATCTCTTCCTCCATCCTAAATCTTCTCTATGTCACATATATTTTAAAGTTATTCAGAGTAATTTCAGGAGCTGCAGGAAAGAAGAATTGCAGAAAGTAGTGGTCTATGATTAGAAATGGACCAATTGGCTAGAACTAAGAATCAGATTGGGTTGTTTTAAGAGTAAGGCTGAAGCCCTGGATAGTTTTAAGGCTAGGGCTAGGCTAAATGTATGGCTCATATAAAGCTGGAAACAGATGGAATCTGAGGATCTATAAGGTTTGGGGCTTCTGTGTCACTTTTTTATGTGTTCCATTTATTTGCCTTCTGGAATTTCTTACAAGGCTCCATTGTAAATTCCCTTATAGTCACTGGCTCTATATCTGATTAGTCAAATATTTTAGGTGAAAACTATGAGAGCAATAAAATGATGTTTTTTTCACCTTTAAATTTAGAATTAACTATTTAAGTTATATATCATCAATTCCAGGTCTTTTAAAAAGTAAAATTCCACTAGCAATGATTGCAGAGGTATTCTGATTCAGTTGATTTACGTGCTATTCTAGAATTAAGAAGGACTATTGTCCTATGTAATCAATGGAGACATGTGTTTGACTAATAAGCAGGCACAGACAATAAGAAAATGAACAGAAGCCAGACAGAGGTCATTCCAACTAGAGTCTCTGTGCACAGGGAATGAAAGGCATACCCGATACACTATAGATAAGATGAAAGATAGGCCGTAAATAGTATCATGGTTGGTGTTAGATCATCTGGCATTTTAAAAGAATTTTAGATTCTTGCATACCTCATACATGTGAAGACAGGAAAGAGTAGATTTTCTCACATTCTACAGGTTTTTTTTTTTTTAAAACCCCTTCCTTCTTCTTCCCTTCTTCCATTGTGCAGGGTAAGAGTTGGGGGAAAACAGATTGTATTCTAAGCCCTTCAGCACATTCTGTCCCCTCTGTGATGGGGAGACAGCAAGCTCCTGGGATCCCGCAGGGTTGGCATTGTTTGGTGACTTTCACAAGAGCTCTGTTAAGACTAAGCCAAGTCAGTTCAATGCTAGAGAGTGTGTGGGACCTTTACTCTCATATTATTAGCTAGTGCTGACAGTGAAGCAAAAAGGTGAAATGTATTCATATGATCAATAATTTGCCTTGCCATTAACAAATATCCTTTTCTATACTCTCAACAGGTATCCAGGACAGTATCATGATGTAAAACAAAAATGTACATAAAGAATGTTTTTTAACAAAACTATTATGTCATTTACATGTACAGAGATGTATATATTCACACTATAAATTAATGAAATAAACTTGAGTAAAATGAAAAGCAGAACATGAAGTGACATTGTTTCAGCACCACGATATTTCAAAAGTCATCAGAAATCAGTATCAGATGTATTGAAATGCAACATCTATGACATTTGGAGGACAACAGTCAGTCAGGTTAAAATATTTTCATTATGCTTTATATAGCCTGACTGCTGATTATGAGAGGACACATTCTGTTTTAATGGAGGTTTAAGAAATTGAATTACATGATGATTTTTAACTACTGAAGTAGTTCTATCAGCTAAAATCCATAGAGATTTAAATGCTTGAACTAAATTTGCTACTACAATTATAGAAATATGGATATCTTATGCATGCTTTTCAGCTAATTTGGATGATTAGTGCTTTTATACAGTACAGCATTTTGCTTTGTAAAGATGCTGCCAGATACAGCTTTGTACTGAATACAAGGTCTAAAAATTCTACCTTATTTCAGGGTGTTTTCCTAGGTCAAGAAATTTTCAAAACATGGTCAATTCAGAGTATACTCCAGATTGATGCTTGCTCAATATGTCCAAAAAGTCAGAGCCTAACAGAAAAATAAAAGCTTGTGTTTTCAATATTCTTGCTATCTTTCAAATTATGATAAATTCTATAGGCATACACTGGAAAAGGAAAATAAATTCACAAACTATAATTTGAAATGACCATAGATGGTACAGTGAAGGATACATTGCAAAAGTCAAAACAAGCAAACACCAAACAATGCTGATATTCATTTCCTGTGTAGGTTTCATCAAACTGTAGTAGACTTCAGTTACTAGATACACTACTGTAGCTGCCACTGTGAAATCCACCAGCCACTGATATTCAGGAAAATAATGCAATGCTGAAAAATAAAGATTTTCAAATACAAAAGTTTTATCTAAACTTTCATCAATAGCAGATATAGACACATACTTAATTAACTTTAAGCAAATTAAATTCTATTTGTGGATTTATAAAAGATTTACAAATATCAAGACGCTAAAATCCAGTAATACAGAATCTTACATTCAAAATTAAATGTTACAATCATTTCATGCATTAAACAATCAAAATAAATAAACTGATTATGACCAATATATTAAAATTTATGTTAAAATGACTATAAATACATTGTAGTTTAATAATTGACCAATGATTTTTAAGAAAATTCTGAAGTATTATGTTTTATAAGAGAGAATTTCCTTTATGACATCTTATCCTGAGGATACATGTAAGGTTGGGTAAAGTACACTGTCTTTTAAGCTTTGTTTCTCAAAAAGAGACTTAAACAATTTTAACATCAATGAGAGGGGAAAGGTTATTCTATGACAGTTACTGTAAGCTACAAAAAAAAGTGTAAGGTGTATTTTTCTGTTTGGTAATTCCTTACTTAAACACTGAGAAATCCTTTGGATTCCACAAAACCAGCTCTTAAGTTCCAAGTGTTCCACCTTTAAGTGTTTGTATTACAAGCAGAATACTCTCAATATGAACAGGCTTTCAACTTTCTTTTGGTTTCCAAATCCCTTAATATGTTTCTCTAAAGGGATCCTTTAAAAGTAACCTATTCTCCACAATCTTCCTAAATTCTATCACTTGGGAAAGGACAGACCAGAAATCTTAAGCAAGATCAGCGGACTGAAACTGAATTTTTTTTTTTAAAGGAGGAAAAGGTAAAAGAAAAACATACCAAATAGATGAAAGGTAATGTTGTTTCTATCTCAACGTATATACCTTTGTGGTTCTATTTCTTCCTTTTATCCTACTTATACTGTTAAAACTTCAGGGATCAAGCAAAAACCATTAATCCCTGATATAGAATTTAGCCCAATGGAACTCATATAGGTGTCTAAACAAATAATTTGATGTTACATAAACACCTATTGATACAATCCTATTTATTACCAAATCGAAATTCTATATGTCAAACTTTGTTTCCACTGACTCCTAAAATAAAATGAATATACATTCCTTTGGGGGCAGCTATAGGAATTGGGGATGGAATATTTGGCCCTTAGTTGTAACACTTAAAAATTTTGTGAATCTTTTAAAAAAATCACCCATTTAAAGGAAAATTTATGTTAAAATAAAATGCCATTCAAAACAAGGTAGGTTAAAAGACTGAACCCTTAGTGATCCCCGTGTGAAGAGGTAATATAACAAGATGTAAAGTAACAAGCCTTAATGCTTTTTCAATTTAGCTAAAATTTTCCCTTGCTTTCAAATTGACTTAACACTTCTAATTTCATACCCAAGGTAATTGTTTTAGCTCTCTTTTGTGCACTTACGTTCTCACATATACTTAATGATTTCTGAATGTAAAGCTGAAGGTTTCATCCTATCATATCTCTAGGCCTCTCCAAGCTTGGTTGCCTCCCTCTTTTAATAAACATCTATTAAAAGCTCACTATGTGAAAGGCACTCTTTTCCATATGGTTGTTGCTAGTCTCTAAATCCCTGACTCCAAAATGGTGAACCAAACATTTGATCAAATAGGTTTGGGTATTTTAAAAACATCATTAACAATAATTAAATCAAGACTTCAAATAATACTATATCCTGTCCATTTGTCCTAATGGGGAGGGGGGAAGAGAGAATCAAAAGGATAAATCACTCATGCTATTCTTTTAGTCTTTTAAGTTCTTTACCTTAGATTTCCCCCCCTGTATATGTAAAGAATATTCTGTCAATCATATCTCCTGCATTTACAACACTAGGATGAAGTCAAATATAATTCTATTATAGGTTAAGGATGTTATATCACACTTACACAATGTTAAATTTCAAAAAGGCAGAATTCAGAAAGGCAATATATGGACAGACTCAGTACTCATGGTACATTAAGTTCCACATAATAATGGCCACAATGTTTTAAAAATTGTAACAGTAGATTTGTTTTATTTTCTTACCATCAGTTCCTTTGAATTTGGCTACTCAAACATAGTTACAATCTTAGATTTCTTTTAAATTATTATTCTTTCTGAAATGTTAAGTACTACACATATTCTTGCACTTACACTCAAAACAACCCTGTTAAGGCAAGGCAAAAGTAATATACCCATTTTACCATTAGGTAAACTGAATCACAGAAATTTACTTCTTTTCAGTGACATAGTAAGGGTCAAACTAGAACCACAAATGAGGTTTTATATGGCTTCTATCCACACTGTTCTCTAACAGATCTAAATGTTATAAACAAAGTAATTCAGCACTAACATACACATCTATCAACTGAATCGAATCATTATGAATATTATAGTAGAATGAGACCCGGAATTAGAGGCATTAAGAAAAGGAAAGCTATGTAGTTTCAACATTTATGCCTGAAAAATAGCATTTCTTTTATAAGCCACTTAAGTTCTTTCTTTTCCCATGGTAAAAGGGGCAAAATAACATACAACTTATTATAATCTAAATAATTCTATGAAAAAAAAGATTTTTAAAAGAAGTCTCTATGAGCTTCTTAGTTCTAAAAGTTTACACAATTCCTACATATTAGCATTAACAATATAACAGCAGCAATCAATTAAGTTCTACTGTTTTAAACTTATCTCTAAGCAACTGAGCTTTAAAGAACTCTTGACCAAAAACCCTCTACTGAAAATTTTCTTACCTAAAGTATCCACTTCTGTAATTGGCTTTGTTTCTAGATGAAGATCAATATCCTTTGGAATGGTTAATGGCTTACTTTCAATATGACCATTATATTTCCTATAAAAATAAGATAAGAAATACAAAAAGTTATCAAATTGTTGTCTAGGTTGCTATGTCAAAATTTAATTTTTTAAAGTGAGAACCTCAATTTCTGGTATTTTAAATAGCAGAGGGGAAATAACTAGCGGATAATAATGAATCGGATCAGTTATTAGAAAGAAGCAAAAATTTTAGAGGTAAATTATTTCAATGAATGATTACTTGGTAAGCCTCATTAAGTGAATACACTGGACATCCAACTTAAAAGAACAGGCATTTTATTTATAACATCAGTTAGTTTATTAATAGCTTAATAAACAACTTCAAACCCTAAATCCACCCTCACTATTTGGTATAAGAGTCATAGACCTGAATCTCCCAAGAGATTGCTGATACAGAAATTTTATTGAGTTGGGGGGTGGGGGGCAGGACTAATGAAAGAATAGTTTTACATGTATTGCTGTCATTTTAGAATTAAAAAAAAAAAGGCAACCAGGCAAACAAAACATATATAAATCATATGTACCTTACAACTGAGATATAAGATTATTTAAAACATTAGACAACAGCTCTAATTTTAAAAAATAAAATGTTATAAAGAAATTACTTTATGTTAATAAACTAGCAAATACTTACTGAGCACCTACTATCTACAAGGCATGGTCCTGGACACATTTGAACTGGCGAAATAGCATGAATGTATTTTAAATAGATCCAAGCATCCTACTAATGAGAAGAAAAAAGCCTATACTTCTGGTGTATACATTTAAGAAATGTCAAGTAAAAGTTTTGAAAGCTACAAAACTGAACAAATTTTAAAAATCTATGGCTCTAACAGTTCTGGATTATAAAGGTCTATAACACGTTATAGTCAAATACTTCATAATGTTTTGAGAAAATTATTTTTATGTATATATGGATATTTTATAAAGTACTAGGAAAGTTATTCTAGAAAGGAAATTTTCAGTAAATCATTTTGTTGTTATAAGGAACTTCCAGTATGTAAATACTCTCCCACAATGCAGATCAGTAACCAATCTCTACTCTCTCAGAAAGATGGCTGGTGTACTGAAACACTGTAACAGTGTAAGGTCACAGAAAGATTAGAAGAACTCAGGTCTGCTTTGTGTTCTATCTCTCCACAGGTCTATCTACAATACAACACTAACTCAAGACTGTTACTAGTCCGTATCCAACTTATGTTTTCTATATTTGGATTTTTGCATATCAAATTTTCTTAAAGTATTTTAATTATACAGACATTTTCTAATTTGTTTGTATTGCAAATTCCTTAGTCTCTTCACCTTGATATTTATCATAACTTCCAAGTTTCTCTGTCTGAAAGCCTAACACAAAAATATTCTCTTAACAAACAGAATCCAACAACGTGACACAATAATAAACACAATAATGACACATTTACCTATCTTTTTTGCTCTTTCCTCTTTGTTGTTTTCCTGCAAGAAGGCGTAACTCTTCTTCTGTAGGATGTTGATACCATCGCAAACTAACAAAAAAGAAACCAACAAAATAAATTGTAAAAACATACCAGTGGCATTTAAGCTTTAAAAAGATATTGACACATTCATTCTAAATATTATAGTATGCCCATCCTTCTATTATTCTCTTCATTGAACTATGAGACCATGGTAATAAATAAATTATAGCTTTATTTACCGATATTACTCATATGCATAAGGTCAAGTCTAGAGACTTCATTTTAGATAGTATTTGTAATTTTCCACTTTCTGGAGGAGGTAAGTCCTACCTAAACTTTTTTTCCCAGAGATGTTAACAAGTGGCAAAAGTGACCAATTAGCTTTGCCCATCTCAGTCTCTTACTGTCTGATAGGTATCAAATAGTGAAATAGGACAGGAATCATGGAAACGACACAAACTACAAAAGGGTAATAAAATTACAAAAAGGAATAAACTGCTGACAATCAAGTTGTCTGTACTATTTATTTCTTAAAAAAATGAAATTTGTACTTACACTATCTAAAT